AATCTGCAGAATGGCATTTTGTTTGTGAATTCTCGGATCGACCGGGAGGAGCTGTGCGGCCGGAGCGCGGAGTGCAGCATCCACCTGGAGGTGATAGTGGACAGACCGCTGCGGGTTTTTCACGTGGAGGTGGAGGTGAAGGACATTAATGACAACCCGCCTGTGTTCCGCGTGAAGGAGCAAAGAGTGCGGATTTACGAATCTAGGCTGCCAGATTCTGTGTTTCCACTGGAGGGCGCATCAGATGCAGATGTTGGGTCAAATTCCATTGTAACCTATGAACTCAGTTCCACCGAGTACTTTGGTTTAGATGTGACAACAAACAGTTATGACAGTACACAGATTGCGCTTGTGTTAAGAAAATCCTTGGACAGAGAGGATGCTCCTGAACATCATTTACTCCTGTTGGCCACCGATGGAGGCAAACCTGAACTCACGGGCTCTGTTCAGCTGCTGATCACTGTGCTGGATGTGAACGACAATGCTCCTGCTTTTGACAAGTCTGAATATGAAGTGAGGATATTGGAAAACTCAGACATCGGAACAACGGTTATAAGACTGAATGCTTCTGATCGGGATGAAGGGACGAACGCGGAAATCTCATATTCTTTTAACAGCCTCGTCCCCCCCATGGTCATTGACCATTTTAGCATAGATCCGAGCACTGGAGAAATGGTAACCCGAGGAGAGTTGGATTTTGAACAAGTAAATTTATACAAAGTCCGTATTGATGTGACAGATAAGGGCCACCCTCCCATGGCAGGCCACTGCACCGTTTTAGTGAAAGTGTTGGATGAAAACGATAATGTTCCGAAGATTGCATTGACATCTTTATCCTTGCCTGTTCAAGAGGACGCCCAAGTTGGAACAGTCATCGCCCTGGTCAGCGTGTCTGACCAAGACTCCGGAGCCAACGGAGAGGTAACCTGCTCTCTGATGCCCCAGATGCCCTTCAAGCTGGTGTCTACCTTCAAGAATTACTATTCACTGGTGCTGGACGGCACTCTCGATCGTGAGAGCATTTCAGAATATGAATTGGTAGTGACTGCGCGGGATGGGGGCTCGCCACCACTGTTGGCCTCGGCCACCGTGTCCGTGGAGGTGGCCGACGTGAACGACAACGCGCCTGTGTTTGCGCAGCCCGAGTACACGGTGTTCGTGAAGGAGAACAACCCGCCGGGCTCCCACATCTTCACGGTGTGCGCGCGCGACGCGGACGCGCAGGAGAACGCGCTGGTGTCCTACTCGCTGGTGGAGCGGCGCGTGGGCGAGCGCGCGCTGTCGAGCTACGTGTCTGTGCACGCGGAGAGCGGCAAGGTGTTCGCGCTGCAGCCGCTGGACCACGAGGAGCTGGAGCTGCTGCAGTTCCAGGTGAGTGCGCGGGACTCTGGAGTGCCTGCCCTGGGGAGCAATGTGACTCTGCAGGTGTTTGTGCTGGATGAGAATGACAATGCGCCAACACTGCTGGCACCCTGGACCCAAGGAGCAGGGTTTGCAGCCAATGAGTTTGTGTCTCGTTCAGTGGGCGCTGGCCACGTAGTGGCGAAGGTGCGTGCGGTGGACTCCGATTCTGGCTACAATGCATGGTTGCTTTATGAACTGCAGCCTGATGAAAGTAGTATGCGCAGCCCATTTCGAGTGGGGCTGTACACGGGTGAGATCAGTACCATGCGAGCTCTGGATGACACTGATTTGCCACGTCAGCAGCTCCTGGTGCTGGTTAAGGATCATGGGGAACCGGCCCTGACAGCTACTGCCACCATCCTGTTGTCCCTGGTAGAGAGCAACCAAGTGCCCAAGTCCTCATCTCGGGTATTGGTTGGGGCTGTAGGTCCGGAAGTAACACTTGTGGATGTCAATGTGTACCTGATCATCGCCATCTGTGCGGTGTCCAGCCTGTTAGTGCTCTCTCTGCTGTTGTATGCAGCCTTACGATGTTCGGCACCCCACGCTGAGAGAGTGTGTGGACCTGGGAAGCCCACACTGGTGTGCTCCAGCGCAGTGGGGAGCTGGTCCCACTCTCAGCAGAGGGGCCAGAGGGTGTGCTCTGGGGAGGGCCTGTCCAAGACTGATCTCATGGCCTTCAGCCCCAGCCTTCCACCTTGTCCTGTTGATGTGCATATGGGCGAACATCAGGACTTAAATGAAGATCCTTGTTCCAAAGTAAGTCTTGAGTTTTCATAATTTAATGTTTAATTATTTTACAGATTTTATATTTTTGGTTGTATTTTTATTAGTTTTGTATATATGTATCTTTTCCTTTTATTCTTCTTCCTATGGAATCTTTTTAGTTTGTTGTGTTAACTGAAAGTTGAATGAGATATTATTTACTACATTCTATTCTTCACAGTATTTTGTGCCTCTAAAGTTCATTGCTATTACCATCTTTTTTCTTTAGTTGGTGGCAAACTTTTCCCTGATTAGCTTCCTAGCATTTTCATTTTAGGTGTATTTAAAAATATTATTTTCATAACTTTGAGCTTCCAGCATCATTCCATCACTTATGCTTTATCTTTTTCTTTCTTACCCTGTGGTGCTAGGAATGGAGCCCAGGGCCCCACATGCTAGCTAAACACTTCCACACAGTGATCCTCTTAGTCCTTTTCATTTAGTGATCTTTTTGCTGATTAATTCAACTAACACTCTCACTTTATGCATATTGTGTATGAGTTGGATCTCATGTCAGAGTTTAGATTACACCCTTTAGCTCTTGTGATCCCAGGCATCAACAGTGTTGTTTTATGGTTGTTCTCTGACAGCACTCAGGGATCAAGGACAGAACAATAGTATCAGACTGAGTATTTCTGGTGGTTATAAAGTTCTGAGTCAGATTTCATGCTCTTTAATAGCTTTATTCCATTCATTGCTATTACCAAGTTAATTAGTGATTTCAATACTGGAATATATTTTCAGTAATTTGTTTGATTAAGTCAATTCATGTAAAATTTGCATTGCTGTGTATGGTGTCTTTAACTCATTTTAATTTCATTTGGTAGGGCTCTATATATGGAATGTAAACTTATTTTTATATTAATTATTTCACTATTGTAGTTATTTAAACTATTCACTATTTCATTACACAAAACACAGGAAAAATAGAAATTTAATGTAGTTTTTGTGATAGCTTCTTTTGCTGGATTTTCACCCTTTCCATTTTTAATTTATGCTGCATTGGTTAGAGTTTATCCTTTTGGTTCTCATTTTTCCACAAACATTTGGATGATAAACAGTGGTACCTATCATAGAAGGAATTTTGAAGATTTAGTTAATTGATACTTTAGCCTTATATCAATGTTTGCCAAATAGTAATTGCTTAGTAAAATTTAGTTGTTGTTATTCTAAACAGAAAAGAAAAGCTTTTATGTCAGGAAGCTGTCATTATGATTTCCTTATTACTGTTTTTGGCTATTTAGTACGTGGTCTCACTGCACAGATCAGACTTGTAGTGATCCTTCCTGTTTTTCAGCCTCCCAAGCCTGGGATTACAGGCATGTGCCACCATGCCCAGTCTCAATTGCCATCTCAGTGCACCCCAGGGGCAGGACTGGCAAGGCAGGCTGGAAACTGAATCCCCCAGTCCCTGCATCTGCCTAAACAGGCACTTTAATATGCTGAGCTATATGGCTGGCCATTCCTTATCTCTTTTATTTTGTATAATATTTATTATTGATAGGGAAGCCATATTTGACAAATTATCTGAGAAACCTGTTGTAGTTTGTGTGTGCCATGTATTACACTTAAAAATTTAAGGTTGATTTTCTAAATTCAAAATGGAACCAAGATTTTGGTGTTAGAAAAGCTTTTGGACTCAAAGGATAATTTGAGTTACAAAGCTCACAGTGATTGCCTGAATATACTTTCAATCTTCTGTATCTACATTTCCTAGGAAGTATTAACAACATTAAATTGGAACAAGATTTTTCCCACATTTAAAAATTGCTCCAAGTCTCTAGTGGAGGGAACTTCGGTTCAAGCTCTCATTCAGTTTTCATTCTTGAAATTGCAGAAATCACTGATAATGTTTTCTAAAACAGTACATGAAATACATAAACATATTAACACAAAATTTAAACAAGAAAAAAGTCCACAAAAACCTCTCTGATATACTTATGAATGACCAAATCATCTCTGATCATACCTCTGAATAAAGAACATTTTTTTTAATGGGGCTGGGGAGATGGCTCAGTGGAATAAGCGCTTCCCTGGCAAGCACAAGGTCCTGAGTTCAATCCCTAGTTTTGCCAAAAAAGAGAACATTTTTATTGATGATAGTACCTCCCAAACTTAAAACCAGTTGCTTCCTTAGGGAGTAGATAAAAAACATAGCAATTTTTATTAGTGTAAACACTTTAAAGAAAATGCTTTTTCAAGCATAGTAGAACATGCCTATAACCCCAGCACTCCGAATCCTCAGGCAAGAGGATCATATGTTTGAACCCAGCCTGCAAAGATTAGTGATTTTTATGAGACCCTTCCTTTCTGAAAACAAGTTTTAGGTAGGTCCTTATAATACAGTTCCTGCCAAGAATAATTGAATCAAATGCAATCACTGGCTTCAAGAATCTGACCGAAAAATACAGATGTGTCATACACAAATATGTCCTAATAAAAGGTAGACTATTTTAAGTGGTATAAGAAGTATACAATAGGGTGATTACAGTGGAACAGATATCTCTATTTCTCTAGTTGGAGGAAATTGCCCAGCATCATTGATTTAGTGGCTTTAAAATGGAGACATTTTCTTGGGGGAATGTTGGGAAAATTTGCTATTTTTGGAAAAAAATATTTTAAGTGAATAAGTGTAACTGTGAATTTATGTATTTGGAAAAGAGAATAATCCACTATGATATGGTTATCATAGGATTATGAGATAAGGCAGGAAAAGTGACATGAAAATATCTCGAGTAACTTTAAGTGCTAGACTTAGGCAATTTCAGTCTCCTCAGAAAGTATGACACAATAATGGGAAAACATTTGAGGAAGATGACTGTAAGGTTTGAATGAAGGATAAACGAGGGATGGAAACAGTGGGATTATGAGATGCTTTAGCAATAACCAAGGAAAACAGCAATCATAAAACTTACTTAGGAAAAAACAGTCTTTGAAATATTAGAACACAAGTATAATAACTTCACCTTAGTTTGGCGCACCGAGGCAAAAGGTGAAAAATAACTGTGTTGAAGAAAGATTTGTACTAACAGTGTTTGGACAGGATATCGTGTCTGCATCTTGTATTATGAAAAACCACTACGAAGACAACAATATGCAATGCATTAATTATTGAAATTATCCTATTAATTGGTTTTGAAACAGTCTCATTGCTATTTGTTTGTCAATAAAGTTAATAAAAAAACTCTGTTATGTAGATCCAAAAGGAACAAAATATCTCAGGACCTATTTAAAGATTTGCTCTAATATGATGGATGATAACTGAAGTTTAGCTAAAGAAATAAGTTTATACTATAATAACCTAATTCATAGTAGAGGTTGTAAAAATTTCCATGTATTTATTATGCAAGGTTTTGAAAGAATGGAAAGAGGAATCAAATATGGGAACCATGAACTCCTACAACAGAACATATAAATTCTGATAAGAGGAGACTTTCAGAATACCTGTTCCTCAAAATTATCTTCATACAAATTATTAGTGTTAAAGATACCCCAAACATGTAACATTTTCTATTAATTAGGAAATTTATCTCAATAATTTGAATGCATTTCTCTGAAAAAAACCCAAGGTATTTTGATTTTCCATTAGTAGATTCCTAAGACGCTGGATCTCCAGACTGGCAAAAAGTTTTAACGGGCAATACTGCACCAAGAATATGGAGTTTCCTGAACTGTGGAACAGTTGGGGCTGTTGAAATAATTGGGGTTATTGTCTTTAAAGTTTACTTTTATTTAAAAAATGTCATGGAAATAATTTTTACTAAGATATGAAGAAGCCACAATTACAGTCACACTAAATATTCAAAAGCAATCACAAAAGATGCCTTCAAGATACACAAAACATGCAGTTTTACATTTTGAAACAATAAAGAAAAAATAAGATTTTGAAATAAACTTCATCTTATTAGTATAATTTAAAAATTCCTACTTACTGCTTGGGCCACATGATGTCGCTCTTTTCCGCGAAATGTTCTTACATTCACAGAGCAGTAATTGGTTTTCCATTTGAAAGACGCCCCACTATTGCGCTCCCAGAACGCTAAACAACGGTCAGCATTTCTGGGTTGAAATGAGCGGATAAGAAGATTTCTTCAAAATATCAGACAACTTTTGCAGATGAGAATAAAAGGGAGGTAGGTTGAAATGCTGTACATGAGTGGATACGACCTGAAGAGCCGACAATTACTCCTGTTTATGATAATTTTAGCAGCCTGGGAGGCAGGGAGCGGCCAGCTGCACTACTCGGTCCCCGAGGAGGCCAAACACGGCACCTTCGTGGGCCGCATCGCGCAGGACCTGGGGCTGGAGCTGGCGGAGCTGGTGCCGCGCCTGTTCCGGGTGGCGTCCAAGGAGCGCGGGGACCTTCTGGAGGTAAATCTGCAGAATGGCATTTTGTTTGTGAATTCTCGGATCGACCGGGAGGAGCTGTGCGGCCGGAGCGCGGAGTGCAGCATCCACCTGGAGGTGATCGTGGACAGACCGCTGCGAGTTTTCCACGTGGAGGTGGAGGTGAAGGACATTAATGACAACCCGCCTGTGTTCCCAGCTACACAAAAGAATCTGTTTATTGCGGAATCCAGGCTGCTTGACTCTCGCTTTCCACTAGAGGGCGCATCAGATGCAGACGTCGGAGCCAATGCTCTGCTAACTTACAGACTGAGCCCCAACGAATATTTCTCGCTGGACATACCACCCAACCACGAACACGTGAAACCTCTTGGGCTGGTATTACGGAAGCCTTTAGACAGGGAGGAGGCCCCAGAGATTTATTTGTTGCTCACCGCCACTGATGGAGGCAAACCCGAGCTAACTGGCACTGTTCAGATACTCATCATGGTCCTGGATGCCAACGACAACGCTCCCGTTTTTGACAGAACACTTTACACGGTGAAATTAGCAGAGAATGTTTCTTTTGGGACGCTGGTAGTGAACGCCACTGCCTCAGATTTGGACGAGGGCGTGAATGGAGACATTACTTACTCATTCTCTAGTGATGTTTCTCCAGACATCAAATCCAAGTTCCACATAGATGGGGTGAGTGGGGAAATTACAGTGATAGGACTTATTGATTTTGAAGAAAGTAAAACCTACAAAATTCGAGTAGAGGCGGTTGATAGAGGGGCTCTGCCCCTGGCTGGTCACTGTACAGTTCTTGTGGAAGTTGTGGATGTTAACGATAATGCTCCAGAGCTGACTGTCTCTTCCCAGTCTCTCCTTGTCTCTGAAGACACGCAGCCCGACACAGTCATTACTTTGATTCGGGTGTTTGATCGCGATTCTGGTACCAATGGGCAGGTGACCTGCTCTTTGTCTCCACATGTCCCCTTCAAGCTGGTCTCAACCTTCAAGAATTATTATTCACTGGTTCTGGACAGCACCTTGGATCGTGAGAGCACACCAGGGTATGCTCTGATAGTGACTGCGCGGGATGGGGGCTCTCCTCCGCTGTCGGCCTCCGCCACCGTGTCGGTGGAGGTGGCCGACGTGAACGACAATGCGCCTGTGTTTGCGCAACCCGAGCACACGGTGTTCGTGAAGGAGAACAACCCGCCGGGCTCCCACATCTTCACGGTGTGCGCGCGCGACGCGGACGCGCAGGAGAACGCGCTGGTGTCCTACTCGCTGGTGGAGCGGCGCGTGGGCGAGCGCGCGCTGTCGAGCTACGTGTCTGTGCACGCGGAGAGCGGCAAGGTGTTCGCGCTGCAGCCGCTGGACCACGAGGAGCTGGAGCTGCTGCAGTTCCAGGTGAGTGCGCGGGATTCTGGAGTGCCTGCCCTGGGGAGCAACGTGACTCTGCAGGTGTTTGTGCTGGATGAGAATGACAATGCCCCCGCCTTGTTGTTGTCGGGGGCGGTCGGAATAAACAGTGAGGTCAGTGAGTTAGTGCCGATGTCAGTGGGCGTGGGCCACATTGTGACGAAAGTTCGCGCTGTGGATGCAGACTCTGGCTACAACGCGTGGCTATCTTATGAGCTCTCTTCCGGGACTGGCTCTGCACGCACCCCGTTTCGTGTGGGACTGTACACGGGCGAGATCAGCACCACGCGTGCCCTGGACGAGACTGATGCACCGCGGCAGCGCCTACTCGTGCTCGTGAGGGACCACGGGGAGCCTCCGCTGACAGCCACCGCCACTGTGCTCGTGTCACTGGTGGAGAGCGGCCAGGCTCCTAAGGCCTCTTCGCGGACGTATGTGAGCATCTCGGGCTCTGAGAAGGCGATAGTGGATGTGAACGTGTACCTGATCATCGCCATCTGCGCGGTGTCCAGCCTGTTGGTGCTCACATTGGTATTCTACATAGCTCTGCGGTGCTCAGCCCCAGGCACTGAGGGCGTTTGCGCCACTGGGAAGCCCACGCTGGTGTGCTCTAGCATGGCGGGGACCTGGTCTTGCTTGCAGGAGAGGCGCCAGAGGGTGTGCTCTGGTGAGGGCCCGCCCAAGAATGACCTCATGGTTTTCAGCCCCAGTTTACCTCAGGGTCCTACCTCTACTGACACCGTGAGTATTAAATAATTTTGTTCTGTCTTTTAAAATTATTTATCTATTTGACACAGGGTCTTGCTACACAGTTCATACTCAGTGATACTCTTGTCAATAGCTTTCTAAGGGCTGGGATTATAGGCATGCATGAGAATGCCCAGTTTTGAGCCCACCATGGGCGGGCTGACCATGCAGTACTGGGGATTAAACTCGGATACTTGAGCTTGCCAGGCAGTTTAAAACATACTTATTTTAGGTTGTACTTAAATGGTTTTTATGTAATTTCTTTTGATAGCTATGTACATTTTTTCCTTCTCTAATAATTGGCGATCCATGTGGTGCTATCTTTTTTTGTTTTTTTCCGGAACTGGGGATTGAACTCAGGTCCTTTTGCTTGCCAGGGAAGCGCTTATTCTACTGAGCCATCTCCACAGCCCCTTGTGGTGCTATTTTTGTGTGGATGTTTTCTAATTGGGATAGTGGATTCACTTTTCTCATAGTAGATTTCCAAATGTAGTGTTTTCCTATCTATTGTTTTTTATTGCTGTTCTGCCCCTTTATGTACTTCTGGTGATGCACTCCAGAGTTGCTGCTTGGCAGTCAAGCACTATCAATGACCTCTGTCCACAGCTCTCTTCAATCTGTAACAATGCTATATTTACAGAATTTCAATAAATGTTTTACCACATTGCTTATTTTATACATTGTCTCTTTTTTATAAAAAATATGTGATTCAGCATAACCCTTTAACATTTTCCTTATACATTTAGTCTTGAAATTGAATTATTTTAATTTACTACATTTTTGTTCAAACTGAGGATTGGATCAAGTTCTCTCCACCACTGAGCTATAAACTCCAACTTTTTACATTCTTAATTTTAATCATAGTCTTGATAAGTTACCCTTGTTGGCCTTGATCACGCAATTCTCTTTCCTCAGCTGTCCAAATAGTTGGGGTTACAGAAAAGCACAAACATGTCTGATTTAATGTTTATTACCCAAAATTGTCCTTTCTTCTGCATATTTGTGTGGTGCTGACTTCTTAACTTACTTTGTAGTGTTTATTTGCTATGTACATGATGACAATATTACTGATTTAAAAATACAATTTAAGTAACAATTCAGTAGTATTTTATTCTATTTCTTATTTGTGTAGGAAATATATTCACATTCAAAACTTTAAAAAATAAAACTAGTGTATAGTGAAAGTTTTCTCTACTGTGTCTAACCCTCTGAACTCCTGAAGCAGTTTGAGCTTCTTTTCTATGTTTTAAGGTTATAAATATGTCTTTATTGTGCTTTTCTTTACTAAAATTGGATTTATTATGCTTTAAACTTACTTTTCTGCACTTAGGATTTTCTACTTCAAATCATAGTTCCATTGCAAAAAAAAATGTATCTTCTTTTGTTTTATGTATCTGTACCTATTTATTCATTTCATTTTTTATAATGGACATCAGTGGAAAAAAGCTTAAATATCTAAACTCAGGTTATTTTTAGAATTTGTAAAAATTTTGTTAGCTATGACTCTCAATTTTTACAGTTCATCATATCACTATATATTTTAGAATGCTATTCTAAAATATGTTTCTTGTTAAGTATAAAAAAGTTATAGGTCTACTTTCATGAAGATCTTGTTTGATAGTCCAGAGAATTATTTTCCATTGAACAATAAATTGATATTTGCCATGGGTGGACCAAATGCAGTGCTCTTGTTGAAAGAATAGTGAAGTTTAGAAAAAAAATCCATAAATACTTTACACATCCAATGATAGTGTTTGTTATATTTACATTTCTTCTTTTCATACATGTACATACTTTTAAGTGAACCTTCCTAGATTATAATTATTAAGAAATTTAGTAGTCTTATTTGTAATGGGAAGTAGTAGAAGTTAGTTGAGATTTTTCTTAGCACCCCTATTTGTATTCATGAATCACCATTACTTTCTTTTGATGGTAAATTATTTTCTAGAAGTTCAAACTCCTTTCAGTTATATTACTTCAAGTGATAGACTGGTTTCAAGGTATGGGAGTAGAAAAACATAAAATAATTAAGACATAAATGTCTAAAGTTATAAATATGGAAGATATCCATATTTTGGATAAGCCAATGATGAAGAACCAGAGACCAAAGGAAGACATACAACTAGGATTTGTGGTGGCAGAGAAATCTATGGAGAATTTTCTGTGAGAGACTTATGTTAAAAATCTACAAAGATGTTGAATATTGTAAAATATATGAACTTGAGTTTTTCTTGTATTAGTAAGTAAAACAGTTTAAGAAATTTGACATTCCTTGAATGAGCTAAAACTAACTGAACAATAATTCAGAAGACTTGAAAGAATAAAAAACTAGTATTACATGCTTACCCTAGACTAATATATTCTGGTGATTGGACAAGTATGAACACACCCTTCTATAAAAATTATGGGGCATGTCTTGTACTTTTGATAACCACAATATACTCATTTCACACTTAAACATGTTACTGAAAGATATTAATAATTAAAATATTAGTGAAACTATTTATTTATCAGTAGAGATACCTTAATGAGACTAAATTAGGGTAAGACATCAGAGAGTATAAATGGACTTGTAATTGATGAAGGTAAGAATCAACTATTAAAGTATGACAAATGAAAATATATTTGTTGCATGAAGTAACTCGTGTAATCATTACCTGTTGGTACCGCATGGTGTCGCTGTCCACCCAGTTCTGTCAAGCCAAGATTCAAAGACGGTCCTATTACAGTAGCTCTCTCTAAAAAACGAACAATGGCAGAGGCTGCGGAAATGCATTAAAGGAGTTCAGATAATACAACGCTTCATCTTTATACCAAGATAAGATCTTATGGTAGGAACAAAACGGACACTTGACATGGTGTTTTCCTGGGAAGGAGGCCTGGAATACCGGTGCCTGCTGCTCTCGCTTCTGCTCCTCGCAGCCTGGGAGGCAGGGAGCGGCCAGCTGCACTACTCGGTCCCCGAGGAAGCCAAACACGGCACCTTCGTGGGCCGCATCG